ATTTGGTAGTGCCGGCAGGAGCTGCTCCTAGCATGTGTGGGGGGTTCCCATCCTGTCTTTGCACCCTGGGGCACAGCCCCATTGCCTCCACTTCCATGAAAGCTGGCAAATAAGGCAGAGCTGTCTCTGGTGGTGTTAAACCCCTCCTGAGTGTGCCCATTGTGTCTCCACTCCACCAGCAACTCTGTGCCGGGGGGGCACATGGCTGCCACCTGGCAGAGGAGCCCTGCTTGCCAAAATGTGAGTTTTGGGGGGCACTTAACAGGGCTGTTGACACAGGTGTGGGTGCGACCCTTCCTGCCCCACGTCCTACCTGGTCAGTGGTGCATACTGTTGGTCCCACAAGATGCTGTACTTGGTTTTGGGGGAACTACTGCCCTTCTCCAACCCTGTTGTGATTGTGCCATGGCCTTCATTAGGGGATTTCTCATGCCAGGTATGGTTTGGGGTCCTGTGGGATGGTGCTGTGCTGGGTTTCAGTGTGGGCTGGGCACTTTAGGGGTGCTTGGTAAGGTCTAGAGCATTTGGGGGGTGAAAAGCACCTTGTAAGGTGCCCCATGGGGCTGTTTCCTGGGGGCAGGTGCTGGGGGGAAGGGGGATAGCATGTGCCTGTTCTGTGCTCAGCTTGTGTTGCTTCCCTGGGGAGCTTATTCCATGGTGGAATTTTGCTGCTCTCTGTATTCAGAGAACAGCCTGGTGCACTGAGTCTCCCTTTAAATGCATGATAAAAATATTTTTCCCAGTGCTGTTGGGAAAGCAGGAACCCCATCTAGGTCTCCTCCTCTCCCTCATATGTCCTGGGGGTGAGGGCTCGCTCCTACATCCCTTGCATCTCTCCTCGGAGCAGCTCACTGAGGTGGGAAGGGCTCAGTGGGAAAACTGAGGATGAATAGAGCAAAAAACTACTACAGCAGAAGGTAACAGGCTCCATCACGGAACTAGGAGCAGCTGCATCCTGAGATGGCTCTGTGACTGGGCAGGGAACACGGGATCTGCTCCACTCCTCCTTCCAGCACTGGGCACCTGTGATCCTTCCTGTTCCCCGTGGGATGAGATGGGGGCTGGCAGGGCTTGTTTCCATGAGCTCCTCAGGCTGGTCCAGCCCTGCTCCTGTCAGGAGATATGGGATGCACATGCAGTGCTCTTGTGCAAAACGAGTGTGGGGTGGTCCCAGGAGCACCTCCAGACGGAACTTCTCTGGGTTCTGCTTCACAGGCGGTGGCATCTGAGGGGTATGTGCAGGGGCATTGCGTGCTTGGGACCTGGGTGATGGGATGATCCACCTCCATGCCCTCCTGAGCTCCTGGAGACTTGGGTGAGGTGCTCCTGGTGATGCCTTATGTCTCACAGCCTTCTTCTTTGTGGGGAGATATGTTTTGAGTAAGGAATCCTGTAAATAGGCTACAGGGAGACCTTAGAGCCCCTTCCAGTGCCTAAACGGGCTCCAAGAGAGATGGAGAGGGACTTGGGTTAAAGGCCTGCAGGGACAGGATAAGGGGGAATGGCTTCCTACTGTCAGAGGGCAGGGTTAGATGGGATATTGGGAAGAAATTCTTCCGTGTGAGAGTGGTGAGGGCCTGGCACAGGTTGCCCAGAGAAGCTGTGGCTGCCCCATCCCTGGAAGTGTTCGAGGCCAGTTTGGATGGGGCTTGGAGCAACCTGGGATAGTGGAAGGTGTCCCTGCCCATGGCTCCTATAAACTCAGTTTTATAGCGAAAGAAGCAAATGGCTGACCTTTGTTGGAAAGCCTGTTTTGCAGGTGAGGGGGGAGCAGTCCTCAATACTGTGGTGATGGGAGCTATCAGTAAGGAGGGGCTGGGGGTCTGTCCCCAGCATTCCCACCACAAGCAGACAAAGGATGAGCTTATTCTTAGTAAAGGTTTAATTATGGGTTAGCGAAAGGGTTGTAGGGCCATATATGGGGAGAAGTAAACAACACCCTGGCTGCCCTTAATGCCAGGGGATTTGCCAAGGCCAGATCCTGGGCGAGGATGAGGCTGGAGGATTGGGGTTTTATTTAGCAAATCCCCCTCCACGCTGCTCGCCCGCCCCGGGGCCACCGTGTCCCTGCAGCCGGGGGCCAAGCCGGGCTCCTCCGCTCCACTGTCACATGGACCTCCAGCATGACTGTGCTGGGATATGAGTAATGCACTCCGGTGACTCATTTGCTGCCTCTTTATTTTTTATTTTTTTTAATCTTAAGGCCCTTGGCTTCATCTGTTGCTGTTTGCTGGCAGTTTCCTGACGTGTCTCCTTCAGGAGCTGCCTGAGATTTCCAGTGTTTTTGCTGAGAATTGTCCTTGTGTCAGTTAGAAGGGTTAGAAATAATTTGGAAATCTGTAAATATCAGTTTTAGCTTGAGCAGAGAGGGGCTTGCTGGCACACTGCCCTCCCTGGGGACATGGGTGTGCTCTGCCAGGGACCTGGCTCTCCCTGTGCCACCTGCCTTTGGGAAGAGCCCGTGCCAGGAGCAGGTTTTTGGTGTCCTTACTGTGGGGTTAATTTCACCCTGAGGAAGGTGAGTTTCGGTCTTGCCACATGACAGGAAGGCTTTCATAAGGCCAAGAACACCCTGCAGAGCCGAGGAAAGCTGTAGCTGCACTGGGACGAGCAGTAGCTGAGGGATCTCAGCTGTGCTCAGGCAGCAGGTGCCAGTGTGATGGCAAACCTGCCCAAACCCAGCACTGAGTGGGGCGGTTTGGTAAAAAAACTTATTGACACATTGCCCAGCCTGGGAGGGCATTTGTAGGGGGGTATCATGGTTCTTCTTACTTGGTTAAGGAATATCAGCCCTATGGAGCATCACAGGAGCTGTGGGTCTGTCCTGGCTGGCAGTGGAGCCACTGGGATGTGGGATCACAGAATCCCAGACTGGTTTGGGTTGGAAGGGACCTTAAAGCTCCTCTTGTTCCACCCCTTGCCATGGGCAGAGACACCTTCCACTATTCCAGGTTGCTCCTAGCCCCATCCAACCTGGCCTTGGACACTTCCAGGGATGGGGATACAGGGACTGTGCCCTGTTGTGCAGCAGCTGTATGAAGTTTTGGAAGATAAGTTATTTTAGTGTGTCCAGGAGAGGTTTGGACACTGCAGGTGTGTGCTCATCACTGGGGCATCCTGCCATGTGTGCCAGCCTGGCTCCTTGGGGAGTTTTGGGGTTGGGCTCAGGGGACAGCAGGGTGACATTCAATGCTTTTTGCTTGCCCTGGGATTACAACCGGAATTCCTAAAAGCACTGGGCACCCTTCCCTGTGCTGGAAGCACAGGCAGTGCAGGCAGGTCACAGGAGCTCCTTGTATGGATTAAAGGAACCATCTGTTAAATAATCCTGTCCCTTTTCCGGGTGCTGTGGCATTTCTCACCAGCTGGGGTGGGTGAGGGCTGTGCTGGAGACACTCGATCTGGAGACCCTGTTGTGGTGCTGAAGCACATTTCCTCACTGATGTATCCAGACCCTTGGAGGTGCTTGGCTTTTGGATTAATTTTTAAAGGTGGAAAAATATTTAGGGTTTTTTTAATTGTAGAAAAAGGGGGGGGGTCATTGGGGTGGGGAACTGATGTTGTTTTTTGTTTTAATGGGGGAAATTATGTGAGTGTTGCTCTCCCTGTTTGTGAGTGAAGTCCTGAGAAACGCGTTTGGCTGACTGGGATGATCCTAAAGATGCTGATGCAGAGTGAGAGGCAGAAGTGAAGTTTCCATTGCTGATACAGGATCACGTTGAAAAGCCACATTTGAGTGCGCTGAAAGGGGCTGGTTGTCCCTAAAACGCTGCTGTTGTGCCCGGCGGGGAGCGGGGCGGGGGGGGGGGTCAGCTCATCCATCAGGCAGGTTGGTGTTGATGGTCCTAATCCCGGGTTTTGCCGGGCACCAGAATGCGGTGGTGCCCTCAGAGACAGATCCTGGGTGTCCCCTGCCGGGGATGGGGCTTTCCCTGCTGTCCCTTGCAGCAGTGGGTGCTGTTTGGGATGAGGATGCCAAAGATGCACCTTCTGCTCCTGCAGCCAAGAGTGGGAACTGCTTCAGGACAAGACTGAGTTTTACAGCATCTTTCCTGCCAGCAAAAAAACCAAACCAAACCACAAAAACAATAACACCAAAAAAAAAAAAAAAGGGGGGGGGGGGGAAACCCCAAAACCAAACAAACGAACCCAAAAAAACCAAACCAAACAAAAAAAACCCTGGAGTCTTGGAGCTGGTTAAAGCCAATTCTGCCAGAAACAATTTTATCTCTCATTTCCTTGGATAATCCCCGTAGTGTCCCAATAACTCCTACATTGGCATTGCCCGTGCCTCTAGCCGAGCTCCCTCTGCTCCTGCAGCAGCTCTGAGCACTGTTTTGAAGGTGGCGAGGGTCGCACACCCCGTCGGTGCTGGCAGGGGCTCGGGGACGCTGGATGCTGTGGCTGGCAGAGAAATGGGGTGACAGAGTGGTGCTGGGTGGCATCTCTTCGGGCACCAGCTGGTGAGGGGACATGGAGGGTCCCCAGGCAAAGCCTGGCTCGGCTCTTGCAGCCCCCCCCGCTCCCTCCCCAGCCTCTTTTGTTCCCCGCTCCGGAGATGCTTAGGCTTCTCTTCATGCGAAATTAATTCCCGGGCGCTGTTAGGAGGCAGTCGGGGAGAAATTTCTTCCCGCATCATCCTTTCGGGGCTAATTGCTGGCGATGTGACGTCAGCCGATGGATTTCTCCCTTGAATGGCTGCGGGAGAGACGAGGAGGGCCCAGCACCCGCGCTCACAGCCCTTGTGCCGGAGCGAGCTCCGCTGCCTTATCCAGCCGGGATTGATTTATTCTCCCCCTATTCCCAGCCGGGCTCCCCGCACGCTCCTAATCTGACAGCGCCCGGTAATTAATCTGGCTCCCCCGGCCGCTGCAATAGGATTAAGGGAGGGGAAGTGCGTCACGAGGTAGGAGAGGGGTTATGCTTTTGGTGAAAGTGGGGGGGAAAAATATGGGAAATAGGTTGGTGTGTTCCCGGGGGGTGTGTCGGGAGCGAGCGCGCATGTGAGGAGGTGCGGGGCGGGAGGCATCGGCTGCGCCGGAGCCGAGCCAGGCTCGTCCTCCCTTTCTCTCAGCATCCTCCGTGATGCGATCCTGGAGGTGATACAGGCACAGCAGCATCCATGGCCTGCCCTTAGCGCCAGCATTCCTGCTTTATCCTCCGTGATATTCTGGCAGCGAACCGAGCCCGGCGTCGGAGGCGTTTGGTTGGCGAAGGGCTGACGTTGAGTGGCTGGTAACCGGGATCGTATTCTCCTGTATTTTTTCAGGCTCCTTGGAAATTGAGGAATGCAATTCTGCCACCATGATGGAAGGTAGGTGATGAGCTGAGCGTGTCTTTCGGGATGGCTGGAGTTTGTGAAGCCACGGTGGAGGATGCACTGAACTTGTGTATGGGGATCCTTTCCCTTTCCTAAATAAAATAATAATAAAAATTAAATCCTCCCCTCCCCCTAATCCCAGCCCCACCAGAGCTCCCTGCCTGCTGCCAGGGAGCTGGCGGATGGTGATATAATATCAAGCCCATCAGATTATTTGCAATTCCATCCCCAGCCCTGTGTAGGCAGCTCAGGGTGTGCAAACACCCAATTATCCTGCTGGTTCCTCCAGAGCCCAGACCAGGGTGGGTTGGTCGGAATTGGGGATCCTGTAAGGATTATTTTATCCTCTGCCTGGAAACCCTGGTTCTCAGCCTGATGTGATGCACAGAGGATGAATTTGGGTGTTCTCAGACCTGAGCTGTGCATCCTGATGGGGTTTGGTGTTTTTAGCTGGATGGAGGAGCATAATTTCAGTAGGAAACAAGGAAATTGGAAGTTAAAGTGATTTTTGCAATGTCGTGGCACTGGTTTGGAGATGCAGGCTCTGGGGAAGGGGAATGGGTGTTGGGTTGAGGCTTATTGGAATAAAAAAGGAAACGTGAAGGAAATATGGGCTGAGGCACAAGATGCTTCAGGGAGCGTTGGGGGACTGTGTCTGATCCTGTGTGGGAAAAGCCTCTGGGCATTACAGGAATTTTATCCTATGCCGTCTGTCTCGACCGTATGTAAAGCTCTTTTTTTTATCATTTATTTTTTTAATACCTTCCGGAGTAAAATGCAGGAAGGGATTATTTTAATTGCATTTTTTTTAGCAGAATAGATACTTCAGGGCCAAGGAGATTGGAATATCTATATTTTTTTGGTTTTATGGCCCATTGGTGGCAGCAGCAGGGCCTGTCTCGGCAGAACCACATCCAACCTCGGGCTTGCGGCGCTGCCAGCACATGAACCAGGCAGCTCCCGGCCTTCCCGAGATGACAGGCAGAAATTGGGCTGCCTCTTGGTGTGTCCCTGGAAATCAGGGTCTGCTGCCCTGCTCGAATTAACCTGGGAAGGCGTCAGGCTTCCCAAAACCAGGACTTCTTGTATTGGTTTAAAATATTTACCTAATCTTGGGAATTCAGGTGTAGTCATGGCCATGTGCGGACACACAGGAATGGCTTCTCCCTGGGTTTTTTTTTTTTGTCTTAGGAAAATGAGTTTGGTTGTCCTTTGATATGAGGAAGTGCCTTCAGTGTCTTCTCTAATACTGATTAGCAAAAGAGATTTTAATTTTAGCCCATGACATCAAACTCATCCTACCGTGCCGACAGACACGGCACGTTGGAAACCAGGCACAGCCTGGGCAAGAACAGGGTATTGTAGAGAATATGTCATTAACAACGTGGCTTCTCTCAAAAATTCCTGTATTTATGAAGGAATTAATGTAGAAAAATTGAACTTGGCCTGTTATAACCTTGGTTTGGGTTATTTAATTAGTTTTGAAGCTTGTTGGGGGAAGTCAGTTGGTCTTTTTAGGTTCTTTTGGGATTTGGGTATTTTGTTGTGGAGTGGTTTTTTTTTGTTGTGATTTTTTTTGTTGTTTTATTTTTATTCCTTGAGTATTTTTACCTTGCTTATGGAATGCCCACAATGTGCTGCTGTGCAGGAGCTTTGGCCACTGTGACCGAGGGCAGGGGGTGCCCAGCCCTATAGTGGAGGTGGCATCCAGCTTGTTGTGTTCTGGCAGAGGTGGAATCACCTTTCATGAACCAGCCTTGCGCTTGGAAAAAAAAAAAAATACTAGTCATAAAAACTGACTTAAACTGCTTGAGAAGTTGTTCCTCAACTACTTGATGCATACGGGAACCTAGAATGGAAATGAGAAAATTAGAAGAAATGATTGCTGCTTTTGATGAGTTTTAAATGGTTGGAAGCTGGTTGTATTTGTGGAAGAGTGGAACTTCTATCCAAGATCCTACTGAACAAATGCACTTCTTAGAGGTGATTTATTTTAATATAAGAATGGTTTTAACATGCGCAGTTTAATTTGATCTGAAACTTTTAAACTCATACAAAATGCTGGGAGTTCCCTACAGTAAATATCTTAAAGGGATTTTATTATTATAATGAATTATTTAAATGACTTGTCTGGCCAAAATGTTGGACGTTGTGCTGGAAGTGCAGGGGGAGCTGGGCTTGTGATAGTGCAGGGTGTAAGGCCACCCAGCATCACCCATGGCCAGCAGGATGAACCTGGCTCAGCTGATGGTATTGGATCCTGTTCTTTGGAAAGAAGATGATTTGGCTCATTGGGAATGGTGCAGAATGAGCAATTTTTACTGGTTATGGTCCTTATTCATATGGAATATTTCTTCGTTCTCTTGGTAGATGAGGGGAAAGAGCAAGTTTTTCACTTTATGATTAAAAATCACAACGATACCTAAAATAACTGTGGATGCTGTTTTAAGAACCCAGTCCTTGCTGGGAGGAAACCAAACCTGTGCTGTGTGGTGTCTGAGCCACCAGAAGAGGATGGTCCTCCCCCTCCATGTCACGGGGGGTGGATGAGTGTTGCCGTTGCCCACCATCTGCGCTGGGGATGGACTTTCTGTGCTTGGCCTTGCTCAAACACGCGGAAAGGAGATTTTGGGGATGGGGATTAAACCCCATTTTGTGCTGGAGAGGTCCCTGCATGTGTGGCTGTAGATGTGAGAGGTGTTTAGATGTTCCCTTTGATTGAAAAACAACTCTCCAGTCCTCGGAAATGCGCTGGGTGTGTCGTCGAGGTGAACAGCCGAGCACAAGAACAAGTTTGTCTCCTTTTTTAATCCCTCTGTTGCTTCTCCAGTGTACTGAAGGCGTTTTACACAGCTTAATTAAGTTTTGAAATCACTGCTGCACCATGTCACTCGAGCCAGAAGCTCCACAATGTGTGGAGAAATTAGACAATGACGTGGCAAATGCGAGCAGCCAAGGGTATTTTGGAGAGGGTCATTTCTTCTTCTATGGGAGATGGTCCCTGTGTTTTTCCAGACCCCAAACCAGATGTTTGCTGGGGAGAAGCCTTCTCAGAGTGGGAATTTCTCTGTAACTCTCTTCTTCAGGCTTTTTGCACCTCTTTCTGGGAAGTTTGGTCACTCAGGATGTCCCATCCCTGGAAGTGTCCAAGGCCAGGTTGGATGGGGCTTGGAGCAACCTGAGATAGTGGAAGGTGTCCCTGCCCATGGCAGGAGGTGGAATGAGATGAGCTTTAAGGTCCTTCCCAACCTAAACCAGTCTGGGGTTCTATGACTGATCACATCCAAAATGGTAAAAACCTTCTTGAATCATCTTTTAGCACCAGTTGTCTCCAGCCTTTTATTTTCATTGTGCTGAACAGACAGAATTGGGACCAGAGGCATCTAATGTCACATTAAAAAGTCTTTTTCTTGATTAGGCAAGAAAATTGACTTTATTATATTTTAGGTGATCTTGTTTCAGTAAATGGTGTATTTGAATGTGCTCAGTGTTGTCTGTGGGACTCGGTAAGGAAATGGCCTGATAGAAAAATTTGTTTTTTGAGAATGCCTCAAACCTCCTGCTGGCTGTGAACATAAATTCAGGCATGGATGACAAAACCATCCTGGAAAAATACATGGAGCCCATAAACACTAAATTAGGACCTGTATTTTTCAACATGCTTTTTGAGCAGAAACCCGTGACCAAGCTTGAGCTTGCAAAGAAAGTCAGGGCTGTGGTGTGGTTGGGCATCTCCATCTCTGTCCTCTGAGGTGGAAGAGGGATCTACTGGAACCTTCTGCTGAACTGACAGGCCTGGCATTGGTGAGGAAAGCAGTTTTTTGTGAATGCAGGAGAAGATTTTTTGACCCTTCTGTTATGCCCAGCAAAGGGTGATGCTGAGTCTAAGCCAGTGGCTTAGCTCCCCTTGTAGCCCAAAGTGGGTAGAGGGATGAGGACATCCCACAACTTCTCAAGTTCGAAGATGTGCATGAAGCCTTTTGGGATGTGTTTGAAGGGCTGATGCAGGGGGCGTTGAGTTCCCAAGGATGAGATATGTAGAAATGGAGGCTTGGGAAGTAAAAAGTTTGGAACAGGAATGAGAAGGAGCTCTGTAGCTCTTGGTTTTGAGGTTCAATAGCAGGACGTAGGGCCTGTGTGTCCAGCCCAGAGCTGCTCAGGTGATGGTGATGTGCTCCCACACTGCGTTGTGGTGCTCCCAGAGATGTCTCATGCACTCTGGGATAGGGCTGGACCAGAAGAGCATCCCCATCAACACAGGTTGAATTTGTTCATCAATCTCTACTTAATTGGGGGAAAGAAACTCAAATAATTCCTTTTTTCAGGCATTCAAACCCTTCCCACTGAGCTGGTTTGGGTTTTTCAGCTCTAGTCCACTGGCAGTATGTCTCTTCCTTCTGAGGGAGAGGAGAGAGCAATGGCTGCCACTCAAAATTCACAAAGGCCCCACCCAAACCTTCCAAATTTGGAAAATGTTTTGTACTGAGGCTGGTGGTACTTGCCAGTTAAAACCCAGCTGGTGCCAACGTGGTGGTGGTGAGAGTTTCAACCAAAACATGGGCAAGGTGGCAAAACCTGAGGTTTCCCTTGCACCTGAAATGTTCAGTGGAATGGAGGGGTAGAAGCAAAATGCCAACAGGGTTTTATTTTGAGAAGAAAGGATAGAAAATATGGGAAAACTCAACTGCTTCATGTGATGCAGGTCTGCAAAACTCCTCCTTGAAGTGAGCCCCAGTTTAAAATGTGCCCTTGGGCATCTCGAACTGCTGCCCAAACATAGTAATCTGGGTTTCTCTGCCAAGGCAGAAACTTTCTGCATGATTCATTGGCCTTACTCAGATTTTAAAGACATTGTAGTAGAAAAATACAGGTTAAATCAGGTGTTTAGTCACCTTGAACCTCCATTCCAGGGTATTCTGTTAAAGGTGGAAAAACATGGTTGGTGGACCCCGACCCACTACTGGGATGGTAGAGGAGCAACGTGAAGGAAAAAG